ACTGGATTCAGGCAGCTCTGCTTTTTCTACCGGTAGTGGAAGGAGGGCAAGGCCTGGTGGACATACAGAGCCGAGTGAGGGCCTTTCAGCTGCGGTCGGCAAAAAAGCTGCTTTACCAGCGAGATGCGCTGTGGGCTCAGACAGCCAGTAAAATCCTGCATAGAGCAGGGAGTTTCAAATATGACCTTAGATGTTTTGGATAGGACTGGCTTGTCTGGTCTCACTCCTTTTTATTGATCACTTCTACTAGTCTGGAGGATAGTTTTTGAGGTGTCCAGAAATGTCTAAAGTTCGACAGAGAGGATACTGGAAGAACCATTACTGTGCTCATTGATACAGACTAGACAGTTGTCCTCAGCTAGCTTGAGAGCATGCCTCTTGGGGAAGGGGTGTACAAAGCTGGGGCACTGCATGGATTTTACTGGGAACTTAGAGAGGTGACTGGACTGCAGGGTGGTCACTAGATTATTTGAAGAGGTAAAATCAGCCGTTCCTTGATGTGTCAGAGGAGGAATACAGAGACAGCAAGCAAAATGACTTTCTGCTCCTTGCATAGATGTCACATTGGCAATTCAAGTGGATCCAGATGAGGAGAGTCCTACCAGAAACATTGTTCCATATCCTGGAGCTGGGACAGTTTCAAGTGGTCTCAAAGAAGGTTATGTACTATGCCTGTGTCTAATTGGCACATCAGACTGATCTGAGGCATCAGAGATCGGGGTGGCTGGAGTTGTTCAGACCAGACTTCCCCCTGAGGGACAGGTGGAGATCCTGGTATAAACCCCCTATAGAGAAGCGTTCAGCTGATCTACACTGGAGGATTATTCATGGGGCAAAATCTACAGACAGACATTTGGTTCACCTGAATCCATCAGTGGGGGACAGTGTAGATTTTGTGGTCAGAAGGAATCGACTGAGGGTCTGTTTTTGCGCTGTGATAGGTTAAGTGGTTTGCTTCTGTTTTTAAAAGGCTGATTTGATGTCTTCAGTGAGAAATTTTCTGAAAGAATTTTATTGCTGGGGTGAAGTACAGGACTCATATGCAGAAGAAAATGTATTTTAAATCATAATGTAGGGACAGCAAAATTGGCTATATGGACGACAAGGAAGAAAAAGGCCACAGGTCCTTGTTGTATGAATCCTGAGTTGATGTATGAAAATGGTTGATGGCAGGGCAATTAGAGTGGAATATGAATATTACAGGCTGGTAGATCAGGTAGAGGCGTTCATTCATGTGTGGGGACAGATTGATGATCAACTACGCACTGTTGCCTCACAGCAAAAAGGACCTGGGTTCAGTTCCCTGGCCGGGGAGACCAGGGTCCTTTCTGTGTGGAGTTTGCATGTTCTCCCTGTGTCTGTGTGGGTTTCCTCTGGGTGCTCCAGTTTCCTCCTACAGTCCAAAGACATGCAGTCAGATAAATTGGAGATGCTGAATTCCCCCTAGCTGTGAGTGTGTGTTTGATAGTATATATCTGTGTTTCTACCCTGTGATGGACTGGTGATCTGTCCAGGGTGTATCCTGCCTTCTGCCGAATGACTGCTGGAATAAGCAGTTTAGAAAATGTGTGTGTGTGTGTGTAAATCTGGATGGATCTGCTGTCATAAGAGTATAATTATATTGGTGGAATAAAGCTGTGTTAAATCTCTCTCTCCCACTCAGTCTGTCACTCTCTGGCTCTCTCTCTCTCACACTCAGTCTGTCTCTCCCTCCGCAGTCTGTCTCTCTTTCTCTCCCCTCAGTCTCTTTGTCTCAATCTCTCATTGTCTCTCCCCCTCAGTCTGTCTCTCATTGTCTCTCCCTCAGTCTCTCTCTCTCTCTCGCCTGCATGGTTGTGAGTGAGTGGTGCGGCTCTGAGTGTGAGAGCACGTGCAGACTGTTTGGTCTGTCTGAGTGTGTTTCCCCACTCTTTCTCTTACTTCCCCATCACTATTTGTTTCCTAGTTTCAATTTAATTCTGTGACAGTAATATCTGTTGTTTGGGTGGTTTAGGAGACTAGTGGGGGTCAGTGGCCGGCGTCCTGCACTGGATGCCATGGCAGGCTGGGAGAGTAGCGTTTGAACGGTATTAAAATTGCCGCAGGTGCTAATGTTACAGTGGAGGAGCGTAGTCTCACAGTGGGGAAAGTTGTGGGGCATGACAGCATATACTGTTACCAAATTAGAAAGTTCTACTCAGCTGCAAATCACCGCTGCTGAAATGTGTCTTTTAGGCAACATCTTTCAGGATTCTGAAAGATAATGCGATGAACTGAATGCTTCCTTCAAATTTAGAGTTGAGAACTTTGATTACACTGTATTGACTACATTTGCCACCACAGAGACTCTCAAATGCTTTGGCTGTGGAAGAGAAGGTGGAGATGGAGGAGAACGCTGACAGAGAAAAAGAACTGAAAATGTTACTGATATAGTTGATTTAGTGTTAGACGGCCACCAGACCATGCTGGATGACTCTGCTAACCCTGTTACTAAAAGAAAAAAGCCCATCACAGTCAGTATCAGACTCGCAGTGTATAGAAAGCTGATGATGGTGCAGCCCCTAAAACTGATAATGCTGAAAACAACTTATCTGACTCCAACATCTCATTGTGTTCACAGACTTGCGGTTCTAGAAAAAATTATACCTTGAAAATAAAGAGATTTTTTGGAGAGCACAAAACATGTTAAAGGGGTGCGAGTGGAAGACCATTTCCCAGATTGTGTGGGTTTGTACAGTCAGTGTTTACTTAGGGCTTACTATCCAGGAGATTTTCTGCCTAAAGAAGATAGTGGCCAAACTAAATCAGATAGTGGCCAAACTAAATCAGCTCACTGATGACAGTAGTGAGATGGCATAAATATTCCCTCAGAGTTTTGTGTTGTGGAGTGCTGGCTGTGTTGTTTTTATGCTTTCTTTTTAACATGAATGAGTTCAAGGTGGCGACATTAAATGTTAATGGAACCACAGATGCTAATAAGAGAGCACAGCTGTTTGAGTTGATTAAACATATTGATGTAATGTTTGTCCAAGAAACACACAGCGATGAGCAGAACACTGTAGACTGGCCGAAGGAAAATGATGGGAGGGCCTTTCTTAGTCACATAGCCACATAATGGGAGGTAGAATTTTAAAAGTTTGTGCCATTTTTGAACCTTGTGCCTTTGTCTTTCTGTGTGTATATGCACCTGCAGTGGGGTAGACCGGATGCTGTTTTTAGATGCTCTGTGCAAAACACTGGATGGCTGCAGAAGTGATGATTATTTAGTTTTAGCCGGTGATTTTAACTGTACTGAGTCAAATGCAGATAGAAACCATCTAGAACCACACGCAGCAGTTCAACAAAAACAGTATACATGGGCACATACAAGAAATAACCTTATTTCTCTAGCAAGACTAACTTTTTTAAGCATCATCTTAATGTTTTTATAAATTGATGAATCTCACCAGTTGCTTTGTCTGACCACAGTTTAGTCCACTGTACAATGGGTGTGAGGCACACTAAGCCACAAGGGTTGAATTGGGTATGAGAAGGTTTTAAGTACTCAGAGGTGTTTTTAGGTGACCAACAAACAGAACAAAGAAACTGGGAGGGGCACCTTGAGAAAGTCAAGGGCCGTCTTTGTAGATGGACCATTCGTCTTATAAAGGACATGTCTTTATCTGTTATAATTTGGCAGCATCATCTTTGTGGCACAGACTAGTGTGTTAAGATCCTCATCCAAGGTTATTGTCCAATATTCAAACTGCACTGGTGGATGTCTTCTGGGATAAGCTGCATTGGTGTGCTGTTCTTGTCCAAAGAGGAGGGAGGACAAGGAGTCATACATTTGGCAAGCAGAGTTGCAGCTTTTTGTCTCCAGTTCCTCCAGAGACTTCTTACTGGACCAAGGAACCTGGTGTGGAGGCCCCTGGGTTGTGTTTTACTCCTTGGTGGGTGAGGCTGGGTGATCTAAACATGGATTTAACTTTGTTTCTGATGGATCCAAAGAAGCTACCGCTGACAAATCTGCTGTCTTTTAATGGAGAACTTTTTAAGGTGTACAACAGCAAAGGGGCACAACCTCTTCATACTGGCTTCTAAAAGAACCCCTGGAAAAAGGGGCACGTCTGCATGTGATGAATGAAATTAATCCTTCAATAGAAAGGACACTGTGCTGCAATGGACTGCAAACGTCAGGGGATCTAAGTGGTACTGATCTGAAGGATGTGTAGCTGCATGCCAAGGTGTATCTTACTTTAAGCTTTTGTCTTTTAGAATTTATTTTTCATTATTTTGGTACAGTTTTTACACAGTTTACATCAGTTTTTATTTTGGATTTTAACTACACTCAGAAATATAGAGCACAGTGTCAACTACTGAATTCTGTACCTGGGCAAGCAAAAATGGCAAGCTTTAGTTTTATTAACAGATTATTTCCAATTTCCAGATTGTGGACACACAAAAAGTCACTGAATTATTCAAGTAGTTTTCTAATGAACTACTTATTTACTTCTACTTCAGTAATGTTTATTAATACTGTACTGAATAATCACTACAGTAACAGTACTTTAACATAAGACATTTCCAGTCTGATATCGTTATTGGCTGAAGAAGCTGGTATGAAGCACATCTGAATTTCCTGAAGACCTCACACATTGAGCTTTAATTCAGCCACACTTTGTTGTTTCATTAGAATTTCAGGAAAAAAATGTAGTCACAGCAAACAGTCAGTTAAGTGGATCATGCTAGAGAAAGCAAACCATTTTTGGGAAATTATGACAACACTGGATTCTACAGATAAACAGAAGTACAAGCAAAAGTATGCGTGTGTGTGTGTGTGTGTGTGTGATAAACAGTGGTATTTTAGAAGCTTGTTGTGTTTGTCTTACTCATTCTCTCTTTGTTTTGTAATGTGTGCGTGTGTGTGCGCGCGTGTGTGTGTGTGTGTGTGTGTGAGACACAGAGACAGAGAGAGAGAGAGAGAGAAAGAGAGAGAGAGAGAGAGAGCGTATGAGTGTATAGTGAGATAATGATCTTACCTCAGTTTCTCCAGTTTACAGTGTGGACTCTTCAGTCCCTCACAGAGCTTCTTCACTCCTGAATCCTGTAGTTTGTTGTTACTCAGGTCCAGTTCTCTCAGGTTTGAGTTCTCTGAGCTGAAAGCTGAGGCCAGAACTGCACAGCTGTACTCTGTGAGACCAAGACTACACAGCCTGGAAGAGAAATGACACAAAAATACTTCAGTCTCTCACACACCCAAACATTAAAAACAATCTTTATAAATATGTTCTCTTAAAACACTCACAGCAGGTTAAAGTATCTACTATTGCACAAATGAAACTACAAAACAGCATTAAGGCCACAAACAGGACTACTCTCCATATATTTACACTAATGGAACATACAAGATCAGGTGACCAAGGTTAGGATGTAACAGAATACAAGGATTGGAAATACCTATTCAGAGGCCAGACTGGAAAGGCTTATATAGATTATTTCTGCTGAGAAAATCCTGAATCCTTTTTGAAGTTGAGTAATTTAGGAGAAAGAGGACTGTGCTATAGTAGGGAAGTGCTGCTAGATACTGTTAATTTTATTCCTAAAGAAATCCTGAAAAGGCTGGCACTGAAACCAGGGAGCAGGGGGTTTACACTCTGTTTAGGACCATACACAAAGAACAACTTAGCGAGGGGTGGAAACTCATTCACTGCAGCTGAAGTCGAGGGAGGTGTGGGAAAGAAGTGAGACGGCTCGCCGTGGTTGGCTACCCATGCCAGTCAGGCGTCCAATCAACTAGAGGAAAGTTCAACCAAGTCTAAAGACCACAGTTCAGAGATCCAGAGTTAAACAAAGTTCAAAAGTCAGAGATCCAAAAATACAGTCCAGAGAGAGACAGTAAAACAAAAAAACAAACAAAGAGAAGGCACTGAGAAGAAGCGACAGCAACGATGTGCTCAGCGTACTCTCAACTGGAAGCTAAAATGTGTGGCGAAAAATGAATGCTAGTGCGAACGCCAACTAGCAGGCAACAAGTCGTATTCTACTCATACACATTAGTTGTTCTGAATATGTCTGCATGTCTTGCAACACAGACAACTCAGAAACAACTGACAACAAATTTTACAGTGAGTAGGCTTTTTTCAATGAATGCGCAAGACTGTAACTAAAGTGAAACATTTATTCTTAGTAAGCACTGCCTTGACCTTCATAAGTGGCTTACAAATAATATTCCAAGGTTATAAACTGTTAAAAGTTATTATCTACTTTTCAGTCAACTATTCCCTTAACACACTGCTGTTAATACGGACACTGTCATTAAAGCAGAAAATAAGGTGTTCTGGTGAGTAAGAGAATTCAGATGTATAGAATACAGTTAGGTAGATGATTATTCATACACACATCAATAAACCCTCCATAACTGTTCCTGAGATGAACTGAGTAGCTCTTACCGAGGACAGTAAAGACTCTCAGAGCACTTAAGGACGTTCTGATCAGAGGTGGGACTGAGCAGTGAGGCACTCTACTGCTATCTATTATTACATAATCACATGCAGACACAGCAGAGCATCACATTACACATTACAACCTCTCACTTTAGTACACACTCAGTTTAGAAAGAAATCACTACATTATTGAACATTTCTAACTAAGACTAACATCACAATACAGCCCCTCTCTATAATAAACACTCAGTTTAGACTGAATTCACTACATTATAGAACATTTCTAACTAAGACAAACATCACACTACAGCCTATCTCTCTAATAAACACTCAGTTTAGACTGAATTCACTACATTATAGAACATTTCTAACTAAGACAAACATGACACTAAAGCCTATCTCTCTAATAAACACTCAGTTTAGACTGAATTCACTACATTATAGAACACTTCTAACTAAGACAAACATGACACTAAAGCCTATCTCTCTAATAAACACTCAGTTTAGACACAATTCACTACATTATAGAACATTTCTAACTAAGACTAACATCACACTACAGCCTATCTCTCTAATAAAGACTCAGTTTAGACTGAATTCACTACATTATAGAACATTTCTAACTAAGACTAACATCACACAACAGTGTTTCTCTTTAATAAACACTCAGTTTAAACAATTGACTACATTATAGAACATTTCTATCTAAGACTAACATCACACTACAGCCTCTCTCTTTAATAAAGACTCAGTTTAGACACAATTCACTACATTATAGAACATTTCTAAGACTAACATCACACTACAGCCTATCTCTCTAATAAAGACTCAGTTTAGACACAATTCACTACATTATAGAACATTTCTAACTAAGACTAACATCACACTACAGCGTTTCTCTTTAATAAACACTCAGTTTAAACACAATTGACTACATTATAGAACATTTCTAACTAAGACTAACATCACACTAAAGCCTATCTCTCTAATAAACACTCAGTTTAGACTGAATTCACTACATCACAGAACATTTCTAACTAAGACTAACATGACACTAAAGCCTATCTCTCTAATAAACACTCAGTTTAGACTGAATTCACTACATTATAGAACATTTCTAACTAAGACAAACATGACACTAAAGCCTATCTCTCTAATAAAGACTCAGTTTAGACTGAATTCACTACATCACAGAACATTTCTAACTAAGACTAACATCACACTACAGCCTCTCTATTTAATGAACGTTCAGTTTAGACTGAATTCACTACATCATGAAACATTTCTAACTAAGACTAACATCACACTACAGCCTATCTCTATAATAAACACTCAGTTTAGACTAAATTCACTACATTATAGAACATTTCTAACTAAGACAAACATGACACTAAAGCCTGTCTCTCTAATAAACACTGAGTTTAGACACAATTCACTACATTATAGAACATTTCTAACTAAGACTAACAACACACAACAGTGTTTCTCTTTAATAAACACTCAGTTTAAACACATTTGACTACATTATAGAACATTTCTAAGACTAACATCACACTACAGCCTCTCTCTTTAATAAACACTCAGTTTAGACACAATTCACTACATTATAGAACATTTCTAAGACTAACATCACACTAGCCTTTCTCTTTAATAAACACTCAGTTTAAACACAATTGACTACATTATAGAACATTTCTATCTAAGACTAACATCACACAACAGCGTTTCTCTTTAATAAACACTCAGTTTAAACACAATTGACTACATTATAGAACATTTCTAACTAAGACAAACATGACACTAAAGCCTATCTCTCTAATAAACACTCAGTTTAGACTGAATTCACTACATTATAGAACACTTCTAACTAAGACTAACATCACACTACAGCCTCTCTCTATAATAAACACTCAGTTTAGACTGAATTCACTACATTACAGAACATTTCTAACTAAGACTAACATCACACTACAGCCTATCTCTCTAATAAACACTCAGTTTAGACTGAATTCACTACATTATAGACCATTTCTAACTAAGACTAACATCACACTACAGCCTCTCTCTATAATAAACACTCAGTTTAGACTGAATTCACTACATTACAGAACATTTCTAACTAAGACTAACATCACACTACAGCCTCTCTCTCTAATAAACACTCAGTTTAGACTGAATTCACTACATTACAGAACATTTCTAAGACTAACATCACACTACAGCCTCTCTCTCTAATAAACACTCAGTTTAGACTGAATTCACTACATCATAGAACATTTATAACTAAGACTAATATCACACTACAGCCTCTCTCTCTAATAAACACTCAGTTTAGACTGAATTCACTACATCATAGAACATTTATAACTAAGACTAATATCACACTACAGCCTCTCTCTCTAATAAACACTCAGTTTAGACTGAATACACTACATTATAGAACATATCTAAGACTAACATCACACTACAGTATCTCTCTATAATAAACACTCAGTTTAGACTGAATTCACTACATTATAGACCATTTCTAACTAACACTAACATCACACTACAGCCTCTCTCTTTAATAAACACACAGTCTAGACACAATTCACTATATTATAGAACATTTCTACCTAAGACTAACTCAATAAACTCAATAAACAATCATTTTAACTTACATATCAATAATCCTTCAGATAGTAATGCATTAGAATTCATTAGACTTCTAGAGACATTTGATTTGAAGCAGCACATGGGCAGCACTACCCACAAGCTTGGTCACATCCTGGATCTGGTCATCAGTAAAGGTTTAAATACAAATGTGTCTCAAATCTCAGATGTTTTCATATCAGATCATTTCTGTATTTTCTTTCAAATCAATTTAGAAGTAAAGAAGAAAGCACCTGAAAGTTACTTTAAAAAAACGTTACATAGACTCAGAAACAGTTGAAAAGTTTAAAACTGTTTATAATAGTTCAGCGAATACAGATCTGACTCCATCCTGTAATGATCTAGTCTCCGATCTAAGTGCTAGATTATGGGAAACTCTTGACATTCTCGCTCCAGTAAAAAGGAATAAAAGTTTGTGTACTCTTAAAAATCCATGGATGAATGCGGAAATACGCCAGCTTAAGAGAAACTGTCGTAAATCAGACGCTTATGGAGGAAAACTAAACTGCAGGTACACAATGATATTCTCAAAGATCAGATCTCAGTCTATAATAATGCTATGAAAATATCCAGACAGTCATATCTCTCCAGTGTAATTAACAGACATAAAGATAATACCAAAATCCTTTTTTCCACCATGTACCGACTAATTAACCCTAACTTGTCTGCTAGTGCATTTCATGATGATTTATCTGCTAAAATCTGTGAAGAGTTCGCAATTCATTTCCAAAATAAAATACATCTGATACGACAGGGAGTAGCTCAGCAGACTCAAACAAGCTCCTATAATGTTCCTGATAAGCCACCTACATCAGTAATGACATCTTTCTCTGTTATCAACTATGAGGAGCTCACAACTATTTTAAACAAACTCAGTTCATCCACATGTGATCTTGACCCTGTTCCTACTTCATTCCTTAAGATGGTTTTTGATTGTGTTCACAATGATGTTTTAACTATTGTAAATTGTTCTCTGTAAACAGGTGTTTTTCCAGATGCTTTCAAAACTGCCCTGGTGAAGCCTCTGCTAAAAAAGAGTAGCATGGACCCTTCCATACCAAATAATTTTAGACTGATTTCAAACCTACCTTTTCTAAGTAAAGTCTTAGAAAAAGTTG